GGTTTTATCATACCAAAAGGTACGATTTGTATGTGTTTTCTATCACCAAAACTGCTTGAAGATTGCTAATTTGGATATCATATTTCAGAAATGATTAAGCCATGGTGGTCATGGGCTTTTTGGGTTTCTCCACTTTCTTATGTCCAACGTGCTATCTCTGTCAATGAGTTTACTGCCACTAGATGGATGGAGGTATCATTTTCTTGTAGTGTACCAATTCATATATTATATGCATATAATGTAAGTTTGGTTCTGATATATACTTAAAACATTTGCAGAACTCTGTTGGGTATAATGTTCTTCATTCGCATGACATGCCTAGTAGTGATAAATGGTACTGGATCGGTGTTGGAGTGACATGGGGTTATGCAATTCTTTTCAATAGTTTGGTGAATTTGGCTTTAGCTTACCTCCACCGTGAGTATTAATATGATACAATATGTGTATGTATGTATCATCAAAATGTTGATATTCTTGTCTTTTCCTTCTTAATAGCGCTGAGAAAAGCCCAAACGGTAACCCCACTTGATTTTACTGCAAAAAATGGTACGTCGTAAATTCTATCTCTATTGGTATGGGGCTCAAAGCCACGAGAGTTTATGCTCAAAGTGGGCAATCTGCGCAGGTGTCGAAGAAACATGTCCTAGAGCGTGCAAGAAAGAAAAGGGAATGATTCTTCCATTCCAACCATTAACGATGACTTTTCATAATGTTAATTATTTCGTTGATACTCCAAAGGTTAGTCATAAGTTGAAATTTGTAGTTCATATTCATGTTCATGTTCATTCTACAACTTTTTTTAAAAGGGTATTAAATTCATTAGGAAATGAAGCAGCAAGGTATACCAGAAAAGAAATTGCAGCTGTTATCAAACGTGAGTGGAGTGTTTTCACCAGGGGTTCTTACAGCATTAGTTGGATCAAGCGGAGCAGGAAAAACTACACTGATGGATGTTCTTGCTGGAAGAAAAACCGGTGGGTACATTGAAGGTGATATCAGAATATCAGGCTTTCCAAAAGAGCAGCCTACTTTTGCTAGAATATCAGGCTACGTAGAGCAAAATGATATCCATTCCCCCCAAGTCACAGTCGAGGAAAGCCTCCAATTCTCCTCATTTCTACGTCTTCCAAAAGAAATCAGCAAAGAAAAACGACAGGTATTTTGTTTGGTTTTCTCCATCTTATTTTAATATGATCCAAACCCCATGTTATTTTGATGCTTTCAGGAGTTCATTGAAGAAGTAATGAGTCTAGTGGAGCTTGATACTCTTAGGCATGCTTTGGTTGGTGTGCCAGGTAATACTGGTTTATCAACAGAGCAGAGAAAACGCCTGACAGTTGCAGTGGAGCTTGTTGCAAATCCTTCTATCATCTTTATGGATGAACCTACCTCTGGACTCGATGCTCGAGCGGCTGCCATTGTTATGCGAACCGTTCGTAACACGGTCGATACGGGAAGAACTGTTGTTTGTACCATTCATCAACCTAGTATTGACATTTTTGAAGCATTTGATGAGGTTGGTAGCTGATTTAAGCATAATCCATAAATGTTTCATTAGCTCTTAATGATTTTGTTCTCGACATTCTTGTGCAGTTGCTTCTTATGAAACGAGGGGGAAGAGTTATATATGGGGGAAAGCTTGGAATACATTCACAAATAATGATAGACTATTTTGAGGTAAAACTTAATCTATTATCTATATATGTATAGAACATGATCTTAAGAGCGGTTCTGACAGAGATATGTTCTTACTTTGTAGGGAATTAGTGGAGTTCCTCCAATACCAGATTCTTACAATCCAGCTACTTGGATGCTTGAGGTCACGTCCCCTGCGGCTGAGCATAGAATTGGTAAAGATTTTGCTGATATATATAGGGACTCGGATCAGTACAGGTATGATTATATTATAGTCGGTCTCTATCGTTAGAATCCGTGTTGTGAGATTCTACATCGGTTGGGGAGGAGAACGAAATACTCTTTAATAGGGTGTGGAAACCTCTCTCTAGCAGAGTGGTTTAAAAACTTTGAGGGGAAGCCCAAAAGAGAACCCAAAAATAGGACAATATCTGCTAGCGGTGGCTTTGAACTATTACATATGGTATCATTAGCCTGACACCGGGCGATGTGGTAGTGAGGAGGCTGAGCCCCGAAGGGGGGTGGACATGAGACGGTGTGCCAGCAAGTACGCTGGGCGTGAAAGGGAGTGGATTGTGTGTGTGTCCCCACATCGATTGGAAAAGGGAACAAGTGTCAGTGAGGACACTAACCCCTGAAGGGGGTGGATTGTGAGATCCCATGTCGGTTGGGGAGGAGAATGAAACGCTTTACAAGGGTGTGGAAACCTTTCCGTAGCAGACAAGTTTTAAAAACTTTAAGTAATGTTACCCGTTTTTTTTTATCTAGAATCGTCGAAGCTTCCATCGAGCAATTTAGCGTTCCACCCGCGGGTGGAGAACCATTGAAGTTTGATACCACATACTCACAAGGCATACTATCTCAGTTCATTATTTGCCTTTGGAAGCAAAGGCTTGTGTATTGGAGAAGTCCCCAATACAATGTGATGAGGCTATGTTTCACCTTCATAAGTGCACTCATATTCGGTTCAGTATTTTGGGGTATTGGTATGAAAAGGTAAAAACCTCATCTCATTTGGAGTTTTGGTTTTTGGTTTTAAGCTATTTGATTAAACTTGATTGCATTTGAATGTTCAAAAGGAACTCAACTCAAGAACTGTTCGTTGTTATGGGAGCTCTGTACGCTGCATGCTTATTCATCGGAGTAAACAATGCTTCCTCTGTACAACCAATTGTTTCAATTGAAAGAACAGTCTTCTATCGCGAGAAAGCAGCTGGAATGTATTCTCCATTCGCTTATGCATTCGCTCAGGTAAGTAATTTAATTGTGTTGTGTCGACGTATAAACAAATGGGGTAATCAAATTTTGGTTGCTAATGCTAATACTTCTCCCAACAGAGCTTAGTGGAGGTTCCCTACATTGCTGCACAGACCATAACATTCGGTGTCATCACATATTTCATGGTGAATTTTGAAAGAAACGTTGGTACGTTACTCAACTTTAGTTTATAACAATTAATCTGTGGTTTAAAACTGTGATATCCCATATCGGTCGCGGAGGAAGACGAAACACACTTTATAAGGGTGTGGAAACCTTTTCCTAATAAACCCCGAGCGATTTGCCAGCGAGGACACTGGGCCAGTAAGAACACTAGGCCTCGAAGGGGTGAATTTGGTAGGAGTCCCACATCGATTGGAGAAAAGAACAAGTGCCAACGAGGATACTGAGCCCTGAAAGGGGGTGGATTGTGATATCCAACATCGGTTAGGGAGAAGAACAAAACACCTTTTATAAGGAGTAGACGTGTTTTAAAGCTTTGAAGAAAAAGCTCAAAGAAGACAATATCTACTAGCTGAACGTATGTTTTAAAATTTTGCAGGGAAGTTTTTGGAATATCTGCTGTTCATGTTCTTGACGTTCACCTATTTCACCTTTTATGGAATGATGGCGGTGGGGCTGACACCATCGCAGCATATGGCATCCATTGTATCATCTGCATTCTACTCCTTATGGAATCTCCTCTCTGGCTTTCTCGTTCCAAAACCCGTAAGTGTTTTTATTGGCAATAAGTTTAGATTGAATGGTTGGTTTGATTTTTGAGGCCTCCTCTGTTCTGTTGTTGCTTACCAGAGCCTCCCAGGATGGTGGATTTGGTTCTACTACATCTGCCCTGTTGCATGGACTTTGAGGGGAATTATAACGTCGCAGCTTGGCGACGTAGACACCATCATTGTGGGACAAGGTTTCGAGGGGTCCGTGAAAGAGTACTTGGAAGTAAGCCTTGGATATGGCCCCGGTATGATCGGAGCTTCGGCTGCGGTGCTCCTTGCCTTCATCCTCCTCTTCTTCTCCGTCTTTGCAGTCTCCATCAAATTCATCAATTTCCAGAGAAGATAAAGATAAAAGTATAATGTCATTGCATTCATTTTTTTATTTATAGTATAGTATAGGTACTCAATTTTCAATATTCTTATTGGATGAAACTTATTAGTATTTTATTTTAAAATAATTGTGGTTATTTTCTATTTGGAACTCACAATGTCTCAAAATATATATCAACTAGAATATATTTATTATTTAAATACCTTCAGCTTTATATGAAATGTCTCTCTCCGATCGATGTGAGATCGATGTGAGATCTCACAATTCAACTCTTTTGGAGGGACCCAGCGTCCTCACTAGCACACCGCTCAGTGTCTAACTCTAATACCATTTGTTTGTGCATGGAAGGAGTTAAGGAATTGTTGGATTAATTATGGTGTTTGTTTGTTCAATTTTGTGAGGGATCGTAGCACGCGGAAACTACTCTCTTCTCGGCCTACTAGTGAGGCAGGTAATTTGTTCATTTTACAGTCTTGGTAAGGTAGAATCGGAATAGGAGAGATTCTTTTATCTCATCAATTATATATATATATGTGTGGTTGGAATTGAACTGGAGCACGGTGAATTTCACAATCGTATATATATAGTATATATTAGAAAAATATAATTTCTATGTCACGTTTAGAGTATACTCATTAATAATTTGAAAATTAGATTTAAAAAAAAATAATAATTTAATCTGATTTTGATTTGGAAATATAAAATAATTAAAATAGGGTTTTAATGGGTACCAGAAATTAGGGGTTAATTTGAACGTGGCTGATAGATTCACTCACTTTTTTTTTTATTGTACAAGAAATCAGGATTTTTGTATTTTACTTTCTTATTACGTGCACGTTTCAAACACGTGTGGGGAGTAAGAAATTCATTCCCCTCCCGCACCGCACGTGTCAATTGAAAGGAGGCTGACAATTGGACGGATTTTCCTAAAGGGGCAATCTCGTAAATTCAGGATCTTCATTATTTACTTCATTTGCAACGAACTCGTCGTCACTTCTTAACCTCTTTAAATAAGTACCGTTTCACTCAATCTATCTGCGCCACCGTCTCTGTTTCCTTCTCTTCTCATCTTTTTTGCTTCAATGGCGGCTTCTAATGGTAGCGAGTACTTCCATTTCGAGATGAACGTGACCGATCAATCCTTTGTGAGACCGTCCAACGCTGAGTTATTCGCGAAGGACGAGCATGAGCTTTTGTGGGCCGCGATTGAGAGGTTACCGTCTCGTAAACAGTCGAATTACGCATTGTTGACGCATACTGCGTCTGAGATCTCCTCTAATGGCGATGAAAACATTAAGAGAATTGAAACTATTGACGTCCGGAAGCTCGATAAGAACAAACGCGAACTTGTTGTGAAGAAAGCATTGGCTACCAATGATCAAGATAATTTTAAGTTGCTTTCTGGAATTAAGGAGCGTCTCGATAAGTACGTACTTTTCATCATTTAAATTAATTCTCTCTTATTATACCTCTCCGAAACCTACTATTGAGATTCGCTGTTCGTTATTGCCTAAAATTTTGATTAGGTTTTTGTTGTTCTATATTGTGAGATTTAAGAACCATTATTCCGAAATTTATGCATTTGTAGATTGTGGTATTCTAAAGCTTAGTAGGTTGTGTTGGTAAGACGCTAAAATTGAAAGTGGAGATGAATTTTTTTTTCTTTCCGTTCCTTTTTTTAATAATTTTGTTATTAATAGTCTAATTTTTTTTTTTTTTTTTCATGTAAGAGCCGGAGTAGTGATTCCAAAGGTTGAAATTAGATTCCATAACTTAAAAGTGGGAGCAGATGTTCAAATCGGTTCTAGAACTTTGCCTACTTTAATCAACTATTCATACGAAGTTGTTGAGGTACAATTTTTTTTCTTAATTTAATTTTCTTTAATATGATATTTATCTATATTTGTAGTTATATCATACTTTATTCGGTTAATTTTTGTTTTATGCAGAATATATTGATGAGTTTGAGAATCATCAAAGGCAAGAGATATCCATTAACAATTCTGAGTGACGTCAGTGGCCTCGTGAAACCAGGAAGGTAAGATAGTATATAATTTTAGCTTAATTTTTATTTTAATTTTAAAATTTGTTTCATATTTTTTATTTTATAAAATTGGACTAAAAATTAGAATATAAACATTGAATGAGATTTTCGTAGTTTATTAGAGGTATAATTATTTTAAAATGTTGGGATATTTTTTAATAATTTAATTTTCATTTTTTTTTTATTGTATTACAAAAATATAATAAATAATGAGATTTACAAGAATTTCTTAAAAAATTAAAGTTTTTTTTTCTTTTCTTGATTTGGAGTTTTTGGTTGATTTTTATTGCATGCAGACTAAAATTAATTTAGACGAAAGATTATTACAAAATTAACGTTTGACATTTTGTGATATTTTAGGATGACGCTGCTCTTAGGGCCTCCAGGTTCTGGAAAATCGACCTTACTTCAATTCCTAGCCGGCAAACTTGATAGAAACTTAAAGGTTTGTACACCAAGTTCGGTGATATATATATATATATATATATATATATATATATATTAGAAGTTTTGTCTAATAAATTTGAAATTTTAGTTTTTGGTAGGTAAATTTTTTAAAATATCACTTCTTAAAAATAAAATTTTAAAATTTAAAATTAATTGGAATTGAAATTACAATTTCAATAACTTATTAATATGATAGGCTATACTTTTAATTAATTTATCCTTATTTTTCAAGTCCTTTTAAAATTAAATTATTAAATGATAACTTTAATTGCATTAAAGTATTATTTCTTCTACCATGTCAATTTTTCATTTTAAATAAAATAATTAATGATGTGTATTTTTTAGAATAATTTTTTTATATTTTAAATTAGAGATATTTTCCTTCGCATTTATTTATTTATTTTAAAATATAAACATGTTTAATTTCTAAAACTATATATTTTTAAAAATACAAATCCTAGCATTATTGCATTATAAAATTGTAGCCTTTTTTATACTTCTATATAATTTAAAATTAATATCAAATTAATGATTTAAAAGAAATAAAAAAGCGGAACTTAATTTTATTAGTTGAAAATTATTTATTTTTATTTAAAAAAGAATGAATTTATTCCTAATAGCCTTATTAATATGTTATTTTTGGTGTTAGAAAAGTGGTAACATCACTTATAATGGACATCGTCTTCATGAGTTCTGCGTTCAAAGAACCTCCGCATACATTAGCCAATCCGATGATCACCTACCGGAGTTGACTGTGCGAGAAACTTTGGACTTCGCCGCTAGATGCCAAGGTGCAAGTGAAAGCTTTGCAGGTTTGCTTGCTTCCTTCATTCATTCACTTGTATATATGCTTGATTCGTTAGGAACAACGATATTGTCCATTTTGAGCATAAACTTGATGTATTTCTTACTTATAAACTCATATCATTCCCTAAATTAACCAATGTGTGAGGTTGATGATTTTCTCTCTTGTTGTAGAATATTTGAAAGAACTGTCACGCTTGGAGAAAGAAAGAAAAATCCGACCTAGTCCTGATATTGATGCATTCATGAAGGTTGTCATTTGATATTTCGTAGCAGTAATTTGTGGATTACGAACTGGCAGACCTTATTTTCTTTAACCTGCGCCCAATTTTACAGGCATCGTCAGTTGGTGGTAAAAAGCACAGTGTGTTAACAGATTACATTTTGAAAGTGCTTGATCTTGATATATGCTCGCAGACATTAGTTGGTAGTGATATGGTGAGGGGTGTCTCTGGTGGCCAAAGAAAAAGAGTTACTTCAGGTCTTTTTACTTTTCAACAATTTAACAACAATTTATTCACTAAATCATATTGTTATTAAATGAAGCTTCTTCGATGATGCAGGGGAAATGATTGTTGGGCCAAGGAAGACTCTTTTTATGGATGAGATATCCACCGGACTTGATAGCTCCACAACTTATCAAATTGTGAAATGTTTAAGGAACTTTGTTCATCAAATGGAGGCTACAGTGTTAATGGCTCTCTTACAACCTGCTCCTGAGACATTTGAACTGTTTGATGATCTTGTGTTGTTATCAGAGGGTTATTTGGTGTATCAAGGCCCTCGAGCCGAGGTGTTAAGGTTTTTCGAGTCATTGGGTTTTAAGCTACCCCCTCGCAAGGGGGTAGCTGATTTTCTTCAAGAGGTATTATAATATTATGTTTTCATAAGATTACTTCACATTTTGTATTGCATATGGCTAAGCTTGTTTTGTGACAGGTGACGTCTAAGAATGATCAAGCACAATATTGGGCTGATTCCACTCGGCCATATACATACATTTCTGTTCCTGAATTCGCAGAAGCATTTAAGAACTCCAATATTGGGAAGTCTTTGGAGTCCTCGCTCAACACTCCATTTGATAAGTCTCTAAGCCATCCTTCAGCTTTGGCTAAAACAAAATTTGCTGTGTCAAAGCGTGAGCTTTTCAAAGCTTGCTTCTCTCGAGAAGTACTGTTGATTAACCGAAATAGTTTTCTTTATATTTTCAAGACATGTCAGGTATTATTTCTGTTACTTATTTCAACATTTGATTCTGGAATTCTGTTTTTCTGACATAACTTATTATAGGTTGCATTTGTTGGAGTTGTTACATGCACAATGTTCTTAAGAACAAGACTACACCCCACGGATGAGATAAATGGCAATCTCTATCTGGCTTGCCTGTTCTTTGGATTGGTGCATATGCTGTTTAATGGCTTCTCTGAGCTACCTTTAATGATATCTCGATTGCCTGTTTTCTACAAGCAAAGGGATAATCTGTTTCACCCTGCTTGGTCCTGGTCTTTTACTAGCTGGATTTTGCGCGTGCCTTATTCCATTCTTGAAGCCGTTGTGTGGTCTTGTGTTGTATATTATCCTGTTGGCTTTGCCCCTAGTGCTGGGAGGTACCTTAAAATTCAATCATTTTCCGTTTTCTTCTTGCTCGTAGCTGATCTGTTTTAAAATGATTTCAGGTTCTTCCGCTTCATGTTCCTACTCTTTTCAGTTCATGAAATGGCTATAGGTCTTTTTCGTCTAATGGCAGCTATAACCAGAGACATGGTAATTGCCAATACATTTGGTTCAGCAGCTTTGCTTATTACATTCTTACTGGGTGGTTTTATGATACCAAAAGGTAGGATATTCGTGTTTGTTTCTTACCAAAATTGCTTGAAGATCGAACACTGCAATCCTAATTTGGATATCATGTTTCAGAAATGATTAAGCCATGGTGGTCATGGGCTTTTTGGGTCTCCCCACTTTCTTATAGCCAACGTGCTATTTCTGTCAATGAGTTTACTGCCACTAGGTGGATGGAGGTACCCTTTTCTTGTATTGTGCCATTCATAAAACGCATAATCTTTAGAACATCGAAACAATCCGTTTCTATACTTCATATTATGTTAACTTTTACCGAAACAATTGCAGAAATCTACCATTGGAGATGGAACTGTTGGATACAATATTCTTCATTCACATAGCATGCCTAGTGGTGATAAATGGTACTGGGTGGGTGTTGGAGTGATGTGGGGTTATGTAGCTCTTTTCAATATTTTGGTGAATTTGGCTTTAGTTTACCTCCACCGTAAGTATTAATATGATACAATATGTGTATGTATGTATCATCAAAATGTTAATATTCTTGTGTTTTCGTTCTCAACAGCGCTAAGAAAAGCCCAAACTGTAACCCCACTTGCTTCTACTGCGGAAAATGGTAAGTCATAAATTTTTCACGTGCCTCTATTAAGGATTGTTGGGAGAGGAGTCCCATGTCGACTAATTAAGAGGTTGATCATGGGTTTATAAATAAGGAATACTATCACCATTGATATGAAGCCTTTTGGAGAAACCAAAAGCAAAGCCACAAGAGTTTATGCTCAAAGTGGATATATCATATCATTGTGGAGAGTCGTAGTTCCAACGTGAGTTAAATATTTTTGTTCTTCACCTTCTTTTTGTTACTCTTGGATCTGTGCAGGTGTTGAACAAGCTTTGAAATTTAGTGAAACATCTCCCAGAGCCGGCAAGACAGAAAAGGGAATGATTCTTCCATTCCAACCATTAACAATGACTTTTCATAATGTTAATTATTTCGTTGATACTCCAAAGGTTAGGCAGAAGTTTAAATATTTCTAGTTCATATTGATTTTATGAGATGCATTCTAAGTATTGAACTCATTCCCAGGAAATGATGCAGCAAGGTATACTAGAAAAGAAATTGCAGCTGTTATCAAATGTGAGTGGAGTGTTTTCACCAGGAGTTCTTACAGCTTTAGTTGGATCAAGCGGGGCAGGAAAAACTACACTGATGGATGTTCTTGCTGGAAGAAAAACCGGTGGATACATTGAAGGTGATATCAGAATATCAGGCTTTCCAAAAGAGCAGCCTACTTTTGCTAGAATATCAGGCTACGTAGAGCAAAATGATATCCATTCCCCCCAAGTCACAGTCGAGGAAAGCCTCCAATTCTCCTCATTTCTACGTCTTCCAAAAGAAATCAGCAAAGAAAAACGACAGGTATTTTGTTTGGTTTTCTCCATCTTATTTTAATATGATCCAAACCCCATGTTATTTTGATGCTTTCAGGAGTTCATTGAAGAAGTAATGAGTCTAGTGGAGCTTGATACTCTTAGGCATGCTTTGGTTGGTGTGCCAGGTAATACTGGTTTATCAACAGAGCAGAGAAAACGCCTGACAGTTGCAGTGGAGCTTGTTGCAAATCCTTCTATCATCTTTATGGATGAACCTACCTCTGGACTCGATGCTCGAGCGGCTGCCATTGTTATGCGAACCGTTCGTAACACGGTCGATACGGGAAGAACTGTTGTTTGTACCATTCATCAACCTAGTATTGACATTTTTGAAGCATTTGATGAGGTTGGTAGCTGATTTAAGCATAATCCATAAATGTTTCATTAGCTCTTAATGATTTTGTTCTCGACATTCTTGTGCAGTTGCTTCTTATGAAACGAGGGGGAAGAGTTATATATGGGGGAAAGCTTGGAATACATTCACAAATAATGATAGACTATTTTGAGGTAAAACTTAATCTATTATCTATATATGTATAGAACATGATCTTAAGAGCGGTTCTGACAGAGATATGTTCTTACTTTGTAGGGAATTAGTGGAGTTCCTCCAATACCAGATTCTTACAATCCAGCTACTTGGATGCTTGAGGTCACGTCCCCTGCTGCTGAGCACAGAATTGGTAAAGATTTTGCTGACCTATATAGGGACTCGAATCAATACAGGTATGATTATATTATAGTCGGTCTCTATCACTAGAAAAACCATTAAGGAATTAACGTAGTCGTTAGAAACTATGTTTTGAGAGCCCACGTCAGTTGAGGACGAGAACGAAACACCTTTTATAAGTTTGTGGAAACCTCTTCCTAGACATGTTTTAAAAAACTCGAGAGAAAGTCCAAAGAGACAATATCTACTGGCTTAGGCTGTTACAAATGGTATCTGAGTCAGACACCGGGCGATGTGCCAGCGAGGTTATTGGGCCCAAAAAGGGGTGGATTGAAGGGTCTCACATCGTTTGGAGAAGGGAATGAGTGTCAGCGTGCTGGGCCCTGAAGGGGGGTGAATTGTGAGATCCTACATCGGTATGAGAGGAGAATGAAACACTTTATAAGGGTATGGAAACCTTTTCCTAGCGAACGCGTTTTAAAAACCTTGAGAGAAAGCCCAAAAGTGAAAAAAGCATAAAAAGAATAATATCGGCTAGCGGTGGGCGTGGGCATGGGCATGGGCTGTTACATATGTACTCGATCCATTAGTAGTTTATAGAAATATTTATGAGATTTTATCGATCCTTACCCATTTCTTTTTATCTAGAATCGTCGAAGCTTCCATCAAGCAATTAAGCGTTCCACCGGTGGGTGGAGAAGCATTGAAGTTCGATACCACATACTCGCAAGGCATACTATCTCAGTTCATTATTTGCCTATGGAAGCAAAGGCTTGTGTATTGGAGAAGTCCCCATTACAATGTGATGAGGTTATGTTTCACCTTCATAAGTGCACTGATTTTTGGTTCAGTGTTTTGGGGTATTGGTATGAAAAGGTAAAAATCTCCTCATTTGGAGTTTTGGTTTTTGGTTTTAGGCTATTTGATTAAAATTTATCGCATTTGAATGTTCAAAAGGAACTCAACTCAAGAACTGTTCGTTGTTATGGGAGCTCTGAACACTGCATGCTTATTCATCGGAGTAAACAATGCTTCCACTGTACAACCAATTGTTTCAATTGAGCGAACAGTATTCTATCGCGAGAAAGCAGCTGGAATGTATTCTCCATTCGCTTATGCATTTGCTCAGGTAAGTAATTTAATTGTGTTGTGTCGACATATAAACAAATGGGGTAATCAAATTTTGATTGCTAATGCTAATACTTCTCCCAACAGAGCTTAGTGGAGGTTCCCTACATTGCTGCACAGACCATAATATACGGTGTCATCTCATATTTCATGGTTAATTTCGAAAGAAACGCGGGTATGTTCCTTGGTTCTATTGTATGTATTTTTTAGAATTTTGGTCCTAAACTTTGTGAAACTAACCCAAAAAGTGATGTTTTAAAATTTTGCAGGCAAGTTTTTCCTATATCTGCTGTTCATGTTCTTGACGTTCACCTATTTCACCTTTTATGGAATGATGGTGGTGGGGCTGACTCCATCACAAAATCTGGCATCCATTGTATCTTCAGCATTCTACTCTTTATGGAATCTCCTCTCTGGCTTTCTTATTCCAAAGCCCGTAAGTGTTCTTTCTCTAAACAACACTTTCGATTGATTGATTGATTGATTGATTGAATGTTGGTTTGATTTTTGAGGCCTCCTCTGTTCTGTTCTGTTCTGTTCTGTTCTGTTCTTGTTTATCAGAGCCTCCCAGGATGGTGGATTTGGTTCTACTACATCTGCCCTGTTGCATGGTCTTTGAGGGGAATTATAACGTCGCAGCTTGGCGACGTAGACACCATAACTGTGGGGCAAGGTTTCGAGGGGTCTGTGAAAGAATACTTGGAAGTAAGCCTTGGATATGGCCCCGGCATGGTCGGAGTTTCGGTTGTGGTGCTCCTTGCCTTCATCCTCGTCTTCTTCTCCATCTTTGCCCTCTCCATCAAATTCATCAATTTCCAGAAAAGATAAAAGATAAAAGTATAATGCCATTGCATTCTTTGTAAAGTAAATAGTATAATACCTAAATTTATTAGTACAGTTTTACTTACTATCATAATTTTGAGATTTGAATCTCTACGTTTTGTGGAGTACATATTAACAAAAAAAAAAAATTAAATTATTATTATTCTAAAATGACGAGGATATTGTATCAAAAATATTAACAAGTCTTAATAATACTTTTTAAAAAAATAGAAACAGTTAATTTTTGTTTCAATAATATTTCATGTACTTGTAGCATAACTTTATAAATTAATTAAAGATATCCACGAAGTAGAATAGGATGGAGAAGTCTTCACTATTCAGTCTCGAAAAAATTCATTTATTTTATTGGAGATCGGGTCAGAAACTCTCGGTGGGATATTTACAATATTAATTTTTTTTATTTTTTCATATTTTTAAAAATATATATATATTCTCTAAAAAAAATAATAGATAATTTCAAATTTTCAATATCATTTCTATAATAAAATATAAAATATTATAATAAATTTAATAATATTTCTTAAACAAAAATATAATATAATATTAAATACACTAAAAAGTTGCAAGTAAATATGTATATATAAAAAAGCTAAAATGACAAACTTACAGAGAAAAAACCCGCCATCTTGACCATTCTCATTGGTCCGTCATTTATCAGAGTTGAGAAGCTACGGTATTTTATCAGGAAACCCGCTCTCATTTTATTGCCCCGGGGAACTGTCTTCCGCTGCCAACATCTTTTCAACTCAAGAACCGGTGGCGCTGGGAGAATTTGAGAGAGCTCCCCCGGGAATGGGGTCGGAGGAATGAATTGTGTTCTTCGTCTTCTTCTTCTTCTCTTCGATCCATAGACGGATACGGAAGATCTTGCAAGAGCTTCAATTCCATGAAGAACAAAGGGGCGAAGTCAGATGAGGGAGACAAATGCGACGACGGTGATTTAGAGGTGGAGGAATGCGATATGGAGGTCTGGAATATGCTTAGGAAGAGCTTCCCTCAGGTGCAGTCCGTATTGGAACATAATCGTTTGTTAATCCAGCAGGTGAACGAGAATCAGCAGTCTAGGATCTCCAATAATCTGGTCAACAACATCTCGTTGATCCATGAAATTAACGGTAATATCTCTCGTGTTATCTCGATTTACTCCGATTTGTATCCATGAAATTAATGGTAATATCTCTCGTGTTATCTCGATTTACTCCGATTTGTCTGCCACTTTCCTCACTACAATTCAACAGAGGCGTTGTGTTACGGAGTGAAGTCCGGTGAAAACAATGGAGGCAGAGGAATTCACGAGTAAAGGCAGACGGTGGAAACTAAGGCAGCGATTCTCAGTAATTCTGTTTTTCCTTGCCTTGACGTAATACTATGTTCGAGACTTTTGAAAAGTTTGATAGTGTGGATCTTGTCTGTTTGGTTGTGCGAAAACAATGAATCCTCTTGAGGACAAGTCATGGCGTTGGTTTTAACTTAATTTGTTCATTTTGTTAAATGAACACGACTCACCACAGTTGAACATGAGCTCTCATGGCTTTGCCTTGGCTTCCCCAAAAGGCCTCGTACCAATGGAGAGAGTATTACTTGTTTATGATCATTTCCTAAATTAGCCGATGTGAGCAAGTCATTTACCTAGATGATGTATAATCTAACTAAATTTCTATTTTTTATAGCAACTAATATGCTGATAAATAAATCTATAAGTTAACTTTAAAAGCCAAATGAAAAGGTAAATTCATTAACTATGGTTGAGAAATGCGAGGATGAGGGGTTAACGAGAATGGCTATAAAAGATGGTAAATTGGGAACATAAAACATTAATTAAGAGATCCGTGACATGTGCACCAATTCTACCGTAAACAGTACAAGAAAGAAAAGCACAGTGAGTGAGGGTTGGATATTGGGGGATATGCTATGCTGAGATATATAAAACAAAGACCAGGTGTCAATCATAGAGGGAGCTCACCGCTGTCGGCAATCACAACTTTGCTCTTAGGGGTTCCGTTCTGCCTTCCCTCGGCTTCTATTTTATAAACCACGTCCATCCCAGACAGCACCTTTCCAAATACAACGTGTCTACCATCCAACCTGTGTGTATAAACAAAAGCATAAGCAGCTTCCTTTTAGTAATCAATCAAATCAAGCATGAAACAAAATCGTGGCAGACAGGAATTTACCAGCTAGTTGTGACTGTAGTGATGAAGAATTGTGAGCCATTTGTGTCTGGACCAGCGTTTGCCATAGACAGAAGCCCTGCAGCATACATTATATATTGTATTTTCAATGTCGGATCATTTTTAGAATGCCGTAATGGACGGGTAGAGATTTTATCCTTCACCTGGCCCTGTATGCTTCAGCTTGAAATTCTCGTCCGCGAACTTCTCTCCGTAGATTGATTCTCCACCTCTTCCATCGCCGAGGGTAAAGTCACCTCCTTGAATCATGAAGCTGGGAATGATCCTGTGGAACGCACTACCCTTGTAGTGCAGGGGTTTTCCGCTGTGCCCAACACCCTTCTCACCTGAAAATTGAAATCATGCAGAATTGGAGACCCAAATATTAGAAAAAGGTCTGAGTAGCCATCGCATGCTGTAAAGATAATTAATATTAAACAGTAAGCTTTTGCCTATTGGCTCTCAATTAATCATTTTTCCCTTTGGGAGACTAAGAGGAATAGAAGTTAGAGCTTTAAAGGAGGGAATTGAAATCCACACGTTACTTTGACATCAGTAACTCGGTTTAAGTAGGAAGTTAAGGCCCCCCTAATTTGACTATAGATGTTAGAAACACCTCACGAAGATGAAAATACTCAAAAAGTATGATTAAAATCAGAGTTATCTGCTTACCAGTGCACAATGCTCGGAAATTTTCTGCATATTCACACGAGAAAAGGTCAGTATTATTATAAAATATTACTATCATATAGTATGCAGTGTATCTAATCCAGCAAAATAGATGGTCTTAAATACAAAATAAATAAACATACCAGCGGTTTTAGGAACAGCCTTCCCGAAAAGACCCATCTCAATACGACCTGTAAGACAGTTATAATCCCAATTGTAATATTAAGAATACTCTAGTTAAATAACCGCAACAAATTGTGTCTAGTTAAGCTCTTAAAAGTATGAAGTATCCGTTTACAATTGCCTTCGCAGAAATGGACATGGGCGTTAAACGCGACAAATATCATTCATGAAACACGCATTCTTCAGTAGCAAACAATATTTAACGTGTCAAATACACCGAGTCTCAACAGATAATTAAAGATCATACAATTGACTTCAAGCAATAATGTGCATTATACTGTCCTTTACTTAATTATGGGACAAATATCATTCACGTACATGCATTCTATGGTAGAATATCTAATATCTCAAGTACAGCCAATCTCGACAAACAGTTGAACATTACACAATGTACAATTCATGAAACAACGTCTAAGCATAAGTCACACTAAACTACTACCCATTGGTGCATTAAGCATGCAAGTCTGTTAGGGCATTGCTGTGTGCCACCAGGGCACGCTTATTATACAGATAAACAAGAGGATTGAAGTTGAGCGATGTTTAAATAAGAAAGCTAAATCGATAAAGCATGAAAACGGGAATCGATCGTTGAATGCAAATTTAGTTGGATCTATTTATTTAAAACAAAACAAAATCGACCATACCAGCAGCCTTGCCGTCAATTTCAACATCGAAGTAAACTTTATGAGTCACTTCTTTCAGATTCTCCTTCGACTTCTTTCCCTGGAACAGAAATTTCATAAATTAATTTTTGGCTTTCAATTTATAATCATCATTCCCATTATGATCTAAACGACTTAAAAGAAAAAACAAAATGACCTAAAATCCGGGAACACTAACTGAATTCATACAAATTCATAAATTAATTTTCTGTTATCAGCTTTATAAACCTCACTCCCATTCTGATCCAAAAGAACTAAGAAAACATAGAATACCTAAAACCTCAATTCTTGAACTACTGACTGGAATCGCACTTGATTACAGATCTAAAAGGCGAGATAAGCGCTTCTTTACCTTGTAGAAAAACCTATCGCCAAATTGAGGATCCAATTACAAAAAGAGGTTTCAGAGTTTGAGAATAATCACCTGGATCAGAGTTAGTGTTCCTAAGAGGAGGAAAGTACACAAAATGAATGACGCCGTTTTCGCCATCTCGCCGCGAAAGAAACCCACTCGAACTCAAAGTCAGTCACTGTAAAACAGCCCAAAACGAGATGCCTGTGCATTTTATACAAAGGTTCTTTGGGCGCACGCGACGTGTAGTTTCTATTTTCCTCCAATAAAAGTCTGACACGTGTTACTTCGTGGTCCCGTGATTGAACTCCTCCAATTTGTCACAACCGGCAATTTCTTTGTGAATATGTATACTTTGTTATTCAAATAGGTTTTATTTTTTTTAAATGCCCAAAATTTAGTTTTTATATTTCTAAGAAATTTTAAAATTAGTTCAATTTTAGAAGTTTTAATTTAGTTTTTTTTTTTCTATATAATCTTGAAAGTTTTAATTTAACTCACCCAAATCTCATTAACTTGAATACGCCTATCACGTACCACCAAAATGTAATAATTTCAAATGTTCACCTTTCAAAAAAAAATTATGGCTAAATTAATAAAAATACATATTAACTTTATACTTTGTATAAAAATAAAAAACACGTATCTGGATTTTAAAAAATATCCAATAACTTTTCATAGAAACCATTAACACTTCATTTCAAAAATATCCTTAAACTTTAAAATGTTTCTTTAGTATCATTAACTTCTCTAAAAAATTATAAAAATATTCTTAACATTAACATGTTTCATTAATATCATTAACTTCTCTAAAAAAAAAATTATAAAAATACCCATTAACTTTTAAAAATTGAATCTTTATAAAAAAAAAAAAAAAATTATTGTCATCAGACAAAAATAATCTATCTACGTCAAATAAACCTAATAAACCGACCATTCCCTTTCATTTTAAGGGTATTGATAAAAAAAATATTTTAAATATCAACGATCATGAACTTTTTTTAAAAAATAAAAGGTACCTGAAGTCATTAAAAAAAAAAAGAAACTTTTTAAAATTCAAACATATTTATGAAATAATGTTAAACAATTATAAAATGAATTATGAGTGTAATTTTTGTTCTGATGTTTGAAAGGTTTTCATCTATGGAAGCTTTCTTTGGTGTTTTATACCGTTTTGGTTTGAATCATCATTCCCTACATCCAGCGGTATAAAACAATGTACCAGCCTCCTCAAATAGCTTCTTCACGAAGGCCAGCATTGTATTATGCCCGACATGTCTACGGAACTAACTAACAAACTGCTCCAATTTCAGGACCCCTTTACATATTAATACGGTAAAAGAACAACAAATATGCAAACTACAGTAATTGAGACCTCTAACCACAAAACCAATGCATAAAACAAAATTTTGGAATATTGAAATATGAAGATTGCCATGAATTTTCTGCAATATCTTCCTGCTTTCAACAAATTTGCAGGATTCTGGGGCTTGAAGCATGATTGTAATCGGCAATCAAACAAAGTCAAGCCCTGTAATGCTCGAGCTAATGGTTGGATCAAGGGCAGCAAATGCATACCAGCTATGAAAAGAGGCAAGACGTGTATAATTCTCGACCATCTGAAAGCGTGGTCTCTAGGAACCATGTGGGCGTCCTCTATCTGCATCGGTATTATTCTCGAAAACTTCATATTCATAGTCCTTATCGAGATACTCCATGGTCTTCCCAAAAACAAATGATTTGGTTCCCATTGTTGTGAAAGGCATTAAGCCAAAAGCTCGTGCTGTTTTGATCTCACGGGCAACTTTCCTCTGTGCTTTGGCACTGATACCTGTCTGCAAAATTGTTGAAATGATCAGGTCAGATGAAGGTTGACGACTCAACTTGTTCAAAACCTGAGTTTTGCTCGAAAAGTTTACCTTGCTCCTCTTGTTAATGATCCCGGCATCGGTAATAAAATTCGCCAGAAACCTAACATTCTGCAAACATCTATTTGCTAATTGTTAGATATGCGAGATAAAATGCAATTCGACTCCAAGAACACATTTTCTTAGCTTGGATAGGTACTCTGGATTATAAACTTCCTCAAGAGAGTCGTGGACATAATTTAAATGGCAAAAAAGACCAACTAATAGCCAAACTATTTTCTGGTAGCAATGAGAATGATAGTGATAATTCCATGACCTCTCTAATGTTGCAAACGAGCAAATGCTAGAAAGAGGCACTACCCATATCAGGAACCCATGAATTGATTAGCTGCAATTTATATAAAAAGAAAAAATTGATGGTCCATGGCTATTGATGACTGCGCTGTGTCTAGGATGCAGACCAAATTTCTAATCACAACGGCTC